TTATTATTATGAGGATAACACGTGACATATAGCTTGACATGCTTTGCTTGTTTAACATTGTAATTGTGGTTCTTTACTACTGAGATTTTCATGAAATCGCACCCTCCTTTATGCTTAAATCAACACCATTTAGGGGCTACAAGTGTTCAAGGGAAAGGCAAGGAAGTGGCTTTAGCATGAAGGTTGATTATGATGTGTTTTGTATGAACTTATGAATAATGTGTTACAATAATGTAATAACTATATCTTTGATGACTTGATGCCTACTCTACGATGTGTAACATAAGTGAAGACTAGTTTATATGGTGTGAAGTATAGTAGAAGCATGCTATGGGTTGTTGTAGTATAAATATACATGAAAGACACTTAAAAAGGATAAAAATAATCTAAAATGGGCTTAACTTGAAGTCTATGTGCTTTTAGGAAAATGAAGGAGTTTGACCATGAAACTTGACAAATTAATAGATCTCATTTTGAATTTTAAAATCAATGGTAATTCATTCAAATTGACTTTTTGTACAAAAAGTTATGCCAATCTAAAGCTACGCATAAATTCTGAAAAACTGAAAAATTGACCATATAACTAGCGTATGTTTACATGAAACTGGGCGCACATGAGATGGATTAATAACCAAATAATATTTTTCAGAAACCTTTAAATAGAATTTAGAATCACCTCATTTTAATTTTTTTATATTCATTTATGATTTTCTAAAGTTGGGCCAGTTTTAGGGTTACCATGAATAGAACTCGAGAACAATTATTTTAAAACTTGAATTTTTTCAAGTTGAGGACTTATTAAGTGGTTCTAATTGCTTTTATTTGATGTTAAAAAGGGTTATAAGGTAAAGTGTTATATTTTTTATATCAGAGTAAAGGTTCTGGTGTAACATCCTTAAAATCTTAATCCTGAGAGTAAGAAAATCTCAGGGCATTTAAGGGCCAGAATAGTAGAAAGAAATATGAAAATATTGGGAAAATATGTTAGAAATTTCTAAAAGTTAGCAAATAATTATGGAAGATAGAGAAAAGGTCCCTGGATAGTATTCGAGGCTTAAAGGTTGAAATTATGATCAAAAGCAATAATTATTGAATTTTCAGTAATTATTGAATATTGACTAATTAGAAAAATTAGTCAAACATTAATTATGAAAAATAGTTTTGAGCCTTAGAAAATTAAGAAAAAATAAGGATAAGGTATCTTGAGAATTATAAGATATTATACAAGTGGTTTTATTTCCAAAATACCCCTAGTTAATTTTTAAAGGAATTTAAAGTTCAATTATACTAATTGGGGTTTTATTCAGAAAAATTCCAAATAAATACTTATGAGGTTAGATAAATCCCAAGAAAATTTATGGAGCTTCTGTGGGATTAATAAGGGGTTATGAAATAATCAAGAAAGTTTTAATGAGCTCAGAGACCCAAAAAAGTAACTCCCAGTTAAGAAAACTAATATAGTAAGAAAATTAGTTTTCTTTTCTTTTGATGGTATAAATTTATTATGGGAGCAAAGTAGGGCTCTTTAGGAAGGGAAAATTGATAAGGAAATGTTAAGGATCTGAAAAAATTAATTAGGAAGCTCAGATCACTAATATAGAAAAAGACAGAGCTATTTCAGTACAAAAAGGGTGCTGAAAAAGGTAAAAAGTATATACCTTTTACTTGGCCCTTATTGTGCCACTTGTTAAGATAGGGATGGAGGGGATTTTAGCTTTTAAAATTCATTTTATTTGGAATTAAATAAAGGAAAGAGAAAATTCAAGAAGGAAGCTTAGCTTGACACCTATGTATTGTAATTCCTTTGAACTTTCATGGCAACTAGTTAATGCTTAGCTTATAAATAACCCTTCTGACCCTCACACTTTTGGCCAAGAGGAGATCACTAGGGAAGGTTGTTAGTGGCAGTCTCACCCATGAGGGGGGTGAATTAGGTGAGTTATAAAAATCTTGCGAATTAAAAAACAGTAAGCTAAACATAAACAGAAAGCGCAAGTTAGAGTGATTTCACTATAGAGAGTAGACACAAAATTTATATTGGTTTGGTTTCAACCACTTGACCTACGTCCAGTCCTCAGAACACCTCTGAGTATTTCACTAAGTTCCGAGATTAATCGGGCTCTTGGTGCTGTAACATCTTATGTTTATACTAATTAACTTGCCTTGCGGAAGCATTTGGAATCACTTTTGAAGACTATAAGTTATGAAAAATCAAGTTTAAAATTTTCTTTTGCGGGTTACTATTCATTGAAACCCAAAAATGTGGCAAACTTCGAAAATTCATAACTAATTGTAAAAAAATCGAAATCGAGTGATTCTTAAGTTCTATAGAAAGCTCTTTGGATAAGCCTTTGAGAGAAAATAGTTTCTAGACTGATTGCCTTAAAATTTGAGCCCAGTTTTTCTTGAAAAAGTTACTGTTCATATGGTCATTTTTCTATTTTCCACTTATTTTAGCCCAACTTTGGAAGGGTATAACTTCTTGTGTGGTTATCAGATTCAGGTGAACCAACTCTCATCTTAAAGAGAAAAATCCCATCTATTTGCTCACCAAATCTCATGGCTATACTCACTCAATTGCTTAATTTGACTTTGGTCAAAGTTTAGGTCCATAATGTTGACTTTTATTCCCCTTGGAAGGATAAATTGTCTTACTTGACCAAGTACTTGCATACTAATTCTCCTACCATATAATCATGCATATTGGACAACACTAGCATGCTTTCACATATTAACACATAAGCTAGCATATATCCATAACTTAAAACCTTAAAGCATACTCTTAATTACATTCATCCAACATAAGGTTTTTCTTCATTCTTCTTCTTCTTCTTGAAGCAAACTTAATTCTCCACTATAGCTACTTCTTTTCCTTTGCTCCTGGAGGTTGAAGGTCCTAGGGTTTGTTAAGTATGGGGGTAAGATTCTTGGAAAATCTTAGTAGCACATTGCATACATTACTATGGTTACACATCACAATGTAATTTAAGCTACATGCATACATACATACTTAAGTATTATGTACTTGCCATAGAAAAACATAACATCATAACATAACATATCATCTCAACCTTGCATAAACCAAGGTATACATGCATGGAGGCATCATGGCATAACATCATAACACATAGCAATGAACACACAATGTATAGTAACTCTAACAAGCAATGGAATGCAAAAGCTACCTTGTTGGCTTTCCTTCCTCTTGAACTCTTTTCTCTTGACTAGATCTTTGCCCCTTTATTGTGTATAGCCTATTAGGCAACCAATGACACAACATTAAGCATTACTCCAACTCCATAACTTAACATAACCCCTTAAACCCCTTTTTTCTTGACTTTTAGGGTTCATTTTTCTAGCTTTGATTCTTGAACTTTCTTGGGCATTTCCTACATAATTTTCCATGTAGAATCCATTTATCATATTAGTTTTATGAAAATCCAATCCCTTCCCATTGAACTTGACTTGGCCGAACCATAGGGATAAATAGGTTCAAAATTTTCATTTCAATTGTTAATGCTTCCAACATCCCTTTCTTGGTATATACCTATACTAAATCATCATTTGAACTCATTGGAAGCATCAAATTGAATTGAAACATCTTCCCTCCTACATTTCTCAATTTGGCCAAACCATATATATAATTATAGGGAAAAGGATTCTCAACAAAACTAACATGTAATCACTTAATCCTTAGCCTTTAACCATACTTAATCTTAACCATACTTCATCTAAACCATTCCCTATCATTTTGATAAAATTTGGGCAGCACTTCCCCTTAAAAAAATGACTTTCTATCATCATTAAAATAGCACAAAACCTACATATCATTATTATACTTGAAATAGGAGAGTTGTAGAAGCTTACCTTGCTTCCAAATGACTTTCTCTCACTAGAAATCTTCTCTTTCTCTCTCTAAACGAAAATTTGCAAGAGGTTTCCTACTTGAAAGGCTTCACACAAAATGAACATGTGGGAGGGGGTATTTATAGGCTTCCTTTTTCATTAATTCCACATTTGCCCTTCTTGCACAAGACTTAATCTTAGCCCTCCAATTTTTACCTCTTTCCACATGTACAAATCTTAGGCTATGTGGCTTAATATGTTGACACTTGGATGGTGAGTCATTAGGGCTTATGTCATCTTTCTTATCCGTTAAGATTAATTAGGCTTTAATCAAGGTTAACTCTCTTAATTCTTTAATTAACTTGGCTAATTACCCTTCTAAAAACTTTTGACTTTTCAAAGATAGATGATTAAATCCTAGCCATCCAATGAACCATGTTTGCCATGTGTCATGATCCTACAGAAGATGACTTAACCATAATCATTTTACTTATCCCTAATTAAATTTTAATCTAACTTGATTTAGTATTTTCTTTTCCTTTTCCTTTTTATTTTCTTTTTTCCTTTCTTGGCCAATTTGGGCCTGACATGTGTCCTTGACATTCAGTTAGAAATTTTACCACCTCAGTTATCCTGACAGTCTACTGAATCGTAATATAATATTGGTTTATTTTATCTGATAGCCGAAAGATTCTAGTATCTCAGAATTCTTATATTAGATTACCATTAATTATATCTCAATAAAGGGAACTTCCTTGATTAATTTGATAATTTTTCTCCCTACATAACTCTTTAAATTGCCGTTTCTATAAAAACAGACAATCTACCAATATTAATTTAATTTTAAATTCAATTAAAGCTAACCTCCTCATCATTTAGGGTTGAAAATAATTTTATAAATCTCCATAATTCCTAAATGAATTTCTTTTAATTTTTCATAATTTTCTGAGATCTCTAGGTATTTTTAATAATTGATATTGGCCAATAAAAGGCACATATATGGCGCCACCTGTCACATCCAATATTATGATAATTGGAGACAAGAAATATTCTCAAATTATTGAGGATTAAAAGTAATAAGGAAAAGTTAAAGAATTTGGGTGGAAAATAATTACAGTAATTTTCCAAGCCAATTATAGGAAATTGACTAATTAAAGAAAATTGGTCAAATGTAAATAAGGAAAAATATTTTCGAGCCATGGAAAATTAAGGAAAAATAGGGATAATATCCTTTGAGAGTTATATGAAATTATAAAGTTGGTTTTATGACCAAATTACCCTTAGAGAAATTATAGGAGAATTTAAGGGTGATTTAGGCTAATTGAGGGATTTTGTTTGGAAAATTCCAAATAAATATTTTAAGAGGAATAAAATTTCAAGAAAATTCCTATGAGATCCCAAGGAATTATGGAATTAAATGGAAACCCTCAAGTGTCCAAGATTTTTCCAAATAAATGTGAAAAGTGGAAAAATCCCTAAAGAGAAGGAAATTAATTTTCCTTTTTATTTAAATATTAGGAAATTAATTTTGAGACAAAGAGGACAATTTGGAAGACAATAATGAGGAGAATAAATTAAGGATCTGATAGAAAATAATTACAGAGACTAAGTTACTGTGATTATAAAAAAGAAGTTAAACTCAGAGCCTAAAGTATACCGATAAAGCAAGATTGGTGTCTTGCAAATCCAAGGGATCCTATTGAGCCATGTGTCAAGCTCTTGAAGGAGAAGATTTGAATTAGCCAAGTGTCATTCCATGAATGGAGAGGATTTTGACTTTAGTAAATAATTTCATTTGGAATTATGTTAATTAAGAGAGAGGAATCAAGACTTAGTAGGGTAATGACACTTGGACTATCATTAAAGAAGGTGGTTGGGATATTTTGAAGCCTTAATCAAGCTCTTCTCTCCCCATTTTCAGATGTTCATTTCGTGCAAGGGAGAAAAATAGAGAAAAAGAGAGAGTTTGAGAGGAAACAAGGAGAAAGGGAGCACTTTTGATCATCCTAGCAAGGTTTCAAGGTTAGATCTTGGTCCTAGAAGTGTTCTTGCTTTGGTTTCTTTCATTTTTATGGTTTAAAATCTGTCTCTTCCCTCTCTTAATGTGGACCAAACTGATTAATAAAAAGGGGAAAGAAGTTTTGATCATAACACTTGCTAAGACACAACAACACAAGCTAGATCCTAGTGTTGGCAAGTGAGTTTAAGTGATTTTAAAGCATTTTTCATGGTTGTTGTTGTGAGAGTTATTTTCGGCCAAGTGAAGAACTGGACCCTAGGATGAGCTTTTCATTGTTTTAAGGCTTCCATGATGCTTAAAATGAGGAATGGTGTAGGGTAGACTAAAAGAAACAAGTGTTGGAAGCCTAAAAGCAAAGCTGAAAATTTTGGGTCAAAACCTCTAGTGGTTTGGTCGGTTTGTGGCTGGAAGAATCAGTTTTATTTTCACAAATCTAAGCCTATTTTTGGAATCTACATGAAAATCCATGTAGGAACAAGTCAAGGAGTGATTTTTAGGGTTAAAGAGAACCAAATCTAAAACTAGTGAACAAAGGAGGGAACTTTATGGTTCAAGAATCATTTTGATGTATGTTCTTGCTTTTTCATGGTTGGATAATGATTCTTGCTGCCATTTTTGTTGAATCACATGGTTAGGGTTTGATATTTTCCAAGGGAAAGAGGAGAAGGAAGAAAGGCTAAGACTTTTGAAGCAAGGTAGTAAGTTAAACCTAGCTACTACCACTAACTAGCATTGTTGATTATTGTATGGTTAATTGCTATTATTGTGATTGAGCTCTCTTGATTGTTATGTGGCTGCTCTTTATAGTATCTTGCTTTGGCCTTTGCATGATTGAGTTTGCCAAATGATAAGCATGTTAGTTCATCCATAGTAGCTAATGTGATCATGCATAATAATGATGCTTGCTTGGTGATATAGTTGGTTAATTTACTACTGGGATTTCCAAAAATCTCATCCCCCAAGAATCATGTAACATTTTAGGGCCTGAATCTTCAAAATGGAAGCTGCAGATTGAAGGTTGATTTGTGGAGTTTAGCCACAAAATTCGTGAGCTTATTTTGGTTATGTAAATATTAAACTAACAGTGCTGGAAGCACACTGACCCTGACCGATTCACATGACTTTTTGATTATGTTCCCAAACGCGTTAAATCGTGAAATTTGGCATGATGAAAGATGACATCCTGTGCTTCAAATTGATAGCTAATACGTTAAAAATGGCCCAGTATACAATTTATAATGATTTTTCAAAGTTAATGGTCAGAATCTGGACATCAGGGTTTTTGGCAAATGGACAGTGTTGTTTTCTTAAAAACCTGACGCTTTCTCATAAATAATTGGACAATGAGATTATTTTTCCTTGAAAGAGGACTTAAAGAGATTTAATTATAATTTTGAATCACCCCAATTGGAGTTTTGTAGAATAAGTTATGAATTTTTGAAGTTGGGCCAGAAAAACTGGATTTTTACTCGATGAACAGTGAAAATCCGAAAATTAGCGTTTTTATGGTAAAAAGTGAGCCCAAGACCATCCAATGTGGTCAAAAATGATTTTGAAAAGGAACCTAAGTTAATATTATAGTAAGGTGTGACACCACCTTAGAGGAGTAGAGGGGAAAAAATAGTTAACACTATTGACCAATTAGTCAACCTTATTGAGTCACATACTAGAAATTTTGCCCTACCGGGTAGATAGGGAACTGTCTAACACTTACCCGTATTACATTCTAATTTTTGTACTGCCCATAAAATATCTTCTGGTGACTCACACGATGACTCATCACCCTCATAAATGAAGCACATGGGAAAGAAGAAGAGAATTCAAGTTGAACTTGTCTTCCTCAAAATATCTGAGATATTTTCTAACTTTGTCTCCTAATTAAGCGACATTAATTATTTAACATTTGACTGGAGCATTTTATCCCATCCTGAAATCCAAAAATTTATCTATTTACACCATAAAATTCGTTTAATTCTATAGAAAATTTATGAATTTTCTTATATCATAACTCAGACCATAAGTATTTCTTTTTAAATTTCCCATAACAAACCCATAAACTGCAGTTCTGGCCTTAAAAAATGTTAAAGCCATTCTGCTGGCCTTCAAGGGTTAAGACTAATTTTATAAATTTTATAGCTTCTTAGATCATACATCCCCATTTTGTCATAACTTTCTGAGGTTTCCTTATGACCCAAACAATTAAATCTACCTCTACATTTCAAACTGAGCCATAAACTTATAAATTCCTTTTAAGTCAACTCAAGGGCATTTTTGTCCTTTCTCCCCATATACAGGCCTTAAAATGTCATTTTCCATTTTCTGGAATTTTCTAGAATTTTTTTGGGTATTACTTCCATTTTTACCCATTCCTGGCCCGAAACTTTCCAAAATTACAGTTTTGCCCTTGATCAAGTAAACCTCATAAATCACCCTATTATGGCCTCTATTATAACCTTTGGTCTGAACTAACCTCTTTTCTCATTTTTGGGCCTTGAGACTTCACTGGAGCCTCTAACTTTCTTTACATTTTAGTCCCTAGAACTTTCTCTATTTACAGTTTAGTTCCTGAAACCCTTCAACATTCCTTTTACATTTCTAGAACTCCTGCTCATAGGGATTTAGTAGCCTACCTATCTTAGGCTAACCCATGTATTCTTAGGCCCAAAACTTGGGGTGTGACAGGTGCCGCAGTACAGCAATCGATTTGCTCAATTACTCCCTCTTGCTACCCGTTCTGGTCCAACTTCAAAAATTCATAACTTATTCTACAAAATCCAATTGGGGTGATTCAAAATTATACTTAAAGCTCTTTAAGTCCTCTTTCAAGGAAAAATAATCTCATTGCCCAAATCCTTATGAGAAAGCGTCAGATTTTTTAGAAAAGCAACACTGTCCATTTGCCAAAAACCCTGATTCCCAGATTCTTACCATTAACTTTGAAAAATCATTATAAATCGTATACTAGGCCATTTTTAACATATTATCTATCAAATTGAAGCTCAGGATGTTATCTTTCATCATGCCAAATTTCATGATTAAACGTATTTGAGAGTATAATCAAAAAGTCATGTGAACCAGTCAGTGTTAGTGTGCTTCCAGCACTGTTAGTTTAATATTTACATAACCAAAATGAGCTCACGAATTTTGTGGCTAAACCCCACAAATTAGCCTTCAATCTGTAGCTTTCCCTTGGAGGATTTAGGCCCTAAAATGTTACATTATTTTTGGGGGATGAGATTTTTGAAAATCCCAGTAGCAAATTAACCAACTATAACACCAAGCAAGCATCATTATTATGCATGATCATATTAGCTACTATTGGTGAACTAACATGCTTATCATTTGGCAAACTCAAACATGCAAAGGCCAAAGCAAGATACTATAAAGAGCAGCCACATAACAATCAAGAAAGCTCAACCACAATAATAGTAATTAACCATACAATAATCAACAATGCTAGTTAGTGGTAGTAGCTAGGTTTAACTTACTACCTTGCTCCAAAAGTCTTAGCTTTCCTTCCTTCTCCTCTTTCCCTTGACAAATATCAAACCCTAACCATATAATCCATCAACAAAGGCAACCATAATCATTATCCAACCATGAAAAAGCAAGAACATACATCAAAATGATTTTTGAACCATAAAGCTCCCTCCTTTGTTCACTACTTTTAGACTTGGTTCTCTTTAACCCTAAAAATCACACCTTGACCTAACCCTAAATGGTTTTTCATGTAGATTCCAAAAATGGGCTTAGATTTATGAAAATAAAACTGTTTCTTCCAGCAACAAACTGACCGAACCACTAGAGGTTTTGACCCAAAATTTTCAGCTTTGCTTTTAAGCTTCCAACACTTGTTTCTTCTAGTCTACCCTACACCATTTCTCATTTTAAGCTTCATGGAAGCCTTAAAACAATGAAAAACTCATCCTAGGGTCCAGTTCACCTCTTGGCCAAAAAGAACTCTCACAACAACAACCACGAAAAATGCTTTAAAACCACTTAAACTCACTTGCAAACACTAGAACCTAGCTTGTATAGTTGTGTCTTAGCAAGTGTAAAAACCAAAACTCCTTTCCCCTTTTTTAACAACCAGTTTGGTCCACATTAAGAGAGAGAAGAGTCAGATTTTAAACCATAAAAATGAAAGAAAACAAAGTAAGAGCACCTCTAGAACCAAGATCTAACCTTGAAACCTTGCTTGGATGATCAAAGGTGCTTGCTTTCTTCTGGTTTCCTCTCAAACTCTCTCTTTTTATCTATTTTTCTCCCTTGGACGAAATGTAGGTCTAAAAATGGGGAGAGAAGAGTTGATTAATGGCTCAAAATATTTCAACCACCCTCTTTAATGATAATCCAAGTGTCATTACCTTACTAAGTCTTGATTCCTCTTTCCTAATTAACATAATTCCAAATGAAATTATTTACTAAAGTCAAAATCCTCTCCATTTATGGAATGACACTTGGCTAATTCAAATCTTCTCCTTCAAGAGCTTGACACATGGCTCAATAGGATCCCTTGGATTTGCAAGACACCAATCTTGCTTTATCGGTATACTTTAGACTCTGAGTTTTACTTCTTTTCTATAATTACAGTAACTTAGTCTCTGTAATTATTTTTGTCAGATCCTTAATTTATTCTCCTCATTATTATCTTCCCAAATTGCCCTCTTTGTCTCAAAATTAATTTCCTAATATTTAAATATAAAGGAAAATTAGTTTCCTTCTCTTTAGGGATTTTTTAACTTTTCACATTTATTTGGAAAAATCTTGGGCACTTGAGGGTCTTCATTTAATTCTATAATTCCTTATAATTCCTTGGTATCTCATAGGAATTTTCTTGGAATTTTATTCCTCTTAAAATATTTATTTGGAATTTTCCAAATAAAATCCCTTAATTAGCCTAAATCACCCTTAAATTCTCTTATAATTTCTCTAAGGGTAATTTGGTCATAAAACCAACTTTATAATTTCATATAACCCTCAAAGGATATTATCCCTATTTTTCCTTAATTTTCCAAGGCTCAAAAATATTTTTCCTTATTTACATTTGACCAATTTTCCTTAATTAGTCAATTTCCTATAATTGGCTTGGAAAATTACTGTAATTATTTTCCACCAAAATCCTTTGACTTTTCCTTATCATTTTTAATCCTCAATAATTTGAGAATATTTCTTATCTCTAATTACCATAATGCTGGATGTGACATTTCTCCCCCCTAAATAAATTTCGTCCTCGAAATTTAAAACATACCTTAGTGGAAAAGCTCAGGGTACTTTTCCTTCATCTCAGCTTCCATCTCCCATGTGGCTTCTTCAGAGGAAAGACCCTTCCAGACCACTTTGACTAGGGGAATCTGCTTGTTCCTCAGTTGCTTGGTCTTCTGATCAACGATTCGTTCTGGTCTAACCCCAAAAGATAGATTATCCCGAAGCGCAATGTCATCATAGCTTATGACATGCGTGGGATCTGGATGGTACTTCTTTAGTTGGGAGACATGGAAAACATCATGAATCAGACTTAACTTAGGGGGCAAGAGCCAACTTGTAGGCCACTGGTCCAGCTTTAGATAGGATCTGAAATGGTCCAACATACTTTGGACTGAGCTTTTTAGTCTTTAAAGATCGACCGACTCCCGTTGTTGGTGACACTTTGAGGAAAACGTGATCACCAACATCAAATTCTAACAGTCTCCTTCTCGTATCTGCATAACTCTTTTGTCTACTCTGAGCTGTTAGAAGCCTTTGCTGAATAGCCTTTATCTGTCGGGAAGTCTGATCCACAATGTCAGGACCAAGAGAACTCCTCTCACTAAGCTCTGTCCAGCATAAGGAGATCTGCACTTCCTCCCATACAATGCCTCATAAGGTGCCATTCGAATACTTGAATGGAAACTGTTATTGTAGGCAAATTCAATTAATGGTAGAGACGTATCCCAATTGCTGCCAAAATCTAATACACAGGCACGTAACATATCCTCTAATGTCTGAATGGTTCTTTCTGTCTGTCCATCTGTCTGAGGGTGGTAGGCTGTACTAAATCTGAGAGTGGTGTCCATCTCTTTCTGTAAGGACCTCCAAAACTTCGAAGTAAATCTTGGATCTCGGTCTGAAACAATACTGCTTGGAACACCATGCAGCCTAACAATCTCCTTGATGTAAAGTCTCGCTAACCTCTCTGGAGAATCCTTTACATTCATACTGAGAAAATGTGCGGACTTAGTCAGATGGTCTATTATTACCCATATTGCATCATGTTTCGACCCTGTCATCGGTAACCCCACTATAAAGTCCATGGATATATTGTCCCATTTCCACTCAGGGATATCCAGGGGTTGCAACTCTCCTGCAGGTTTCTGGTGTTCTACCTTCACCTTCTGGCAAGTAAGACACTTTGTTACATATTCCGTGATATCCTTCTTCATTCCAGGCCACCAGAAGAGTTCTTTAACATCATGGTACATCTTGGTCATTCCTGGATGAAGAGTATATTTGCTCTTATGGGCTTCTGCCAGTATCTCTTTTCTGAGTTTCGATACTTGGGGAATGTAGGTTCTTCCTTTAAACTTCAGTATCCCCTCAGAAATTTCAAAATTCTTACTCTCGCCTCTAGACAGCTTCTCCTTGAGAATTTTCGCTAGCTAGTCCTGTGACTGTGCTTCTCTAATTTGATCTTTGAGCAGGGCCGTAAACTGGGTTTTACCTCTATTTCCTTCTACTAACTGCATCTGATATAGAGAACCCCAATCTTTGAAATCCTCTACCAGCTTCTGCTCTCTGATCATCAGCGATGCTACCTGTACTGTCTTTCTGCTTAAGGCATCCGCGACTACATTCGCTTTGCCTGGATGGTACTTAATTTGAAAATCATAATCTTTGAGTAAGTCTATCCACCTTCGTTGTCTCATATTCAGCTCTTTCTGGTCATGAAGGTACTTGAGGCTTTTGTGGTCACAAAACAATTCTACGGTTGCTCCATACAGATAGTGTCTCCATATCTTCATTGCATAAACTATCGCTGCCAATTCCAGGTGGGTCGGGTAATTCTCCTCGTGAGATTTCAACTGGCGTGAGGCGTAGGCTACTACTCGTCCTTGCTGCATAAGTACACATCCTAGTCCTTGCTTGCTAGCATCTGTATAAACCACATACGGTTGTGAATGATCGGGAAGTATAAGTACGGGAGTAGAAGTGAGCTTCCTCTTCAGCTTCTGAAAACTAGCCTCACTCTTCTCATCCCACAAGAACGGCTAGTTCTTCCTGGTTAACTTGGTCAGCGAGAGAGCAATTCGAGAAAAGTCCTGGATGAATCTTCTGTAATACCCTGCTAGTCCGAGGAAACTTCTGATCTCAGTCACCGTCTTGGGTCTCTCTCAGTTGAGTACTGCCTCAATCTTACTGGGGTCGACAGCCACTCCCTTTCGAGAAATCACATGGCTGAGAAATCGGACTTCCTGAAGCCAAAACTCACACTTACTAAGTTTAGCCACTAGTTGTTTCTCTTTCAGGGTATTTAGGACAATCCTCAAATGCTCCTTATGCTCTTCTGGAGACTTGGAGTACACTAAGATGTCATCAATGAATACGACCACAAATTGATCTAAGTAAGGATGAAAAATCCTATTCATGTAGTCCATGAATATCACAGGTGCGTTCGTCAATCCAAACGGCATCACTAAGAATTCATAGTTCCCATATCGGGTTCTAAACACAGTTTTAGGGACATCTTCAGACTTAATCTTGAGTTAGTGGTAGCCAGATCTTAGATCAATCTTAGAGAATACACTGGCTTCAACCAACTAGTCTAACAGATCATCTATCCTAGGGAGCGGATACTTGTTCTTAACTGTGACTTTGTTCAACTCCCTGTAGTCTATGCATAGCCTTAGACTACCATCCTTTTTCTTGACAAACACTAGAGCACCCCATGACACACACTTGGTCTAATAAAACCTTTTTAAAGTAACTCCTCTATCTGCTTCTTAAGTTCTGTCATTTTATTAGGAGCCATTCTATAAGGGGCCTTAGAAATTGGTCCTGCTCTAGGTACTATGTCAATTGTGAATTCTACTTCTCTGTCTGGGGGTAATCCTGTGATCTCTATCGGAAACACTTTCGAAAATTCCCTAACCATTGGGATTTCTCCTATCCCTTCCTCAACTTCTACTTGCACCGAGAAGAAAATGAGGAATCCTTGATAGCCTTTTCGTAAGCATTTGCCCGCTTGGGCTTCTGTAATGAAATTCAAAGGGTGTTTGGGAATCACCCTAAAAGCACTTCTGGCTCCCAAACCATGGTTTAGGAAGGGTGATTGCTAAACACCCCAAAATTTTGGAAAACCTGGGTTTCGGTGAAAACCATGGTTTTGGCCAGCCAAACCATGGTTTTCGTATAAGCTAGGAGATTGTGGATTTTGAAGAAATAATGCTCGCTGAAATCATTATCACTCCTATCAGAGAGGCTTTTTCAATGGTAGAAAACTTGTCTGTGGCTCTGAAATATGCTCGCTGAAATGGTCTTTCTTCTCCCATTCTGCTTAGTTCCAGTGCCGTCACCTCCTTTTAATCTGAAAATTTGTCGCCACCGGTGAGATCGCCACTTGCTATATGAAAAATTCCTTGCCGCCGGTGAGATCGCCTCCTCCCATTCAGAAAAAATCAAGAACACACTCCACGCTTGGACGATTTTCACTAAGAACATAAGCGCATATCATTCTTTCTCCGTCGCCCTTTCTGAAGCTCGACGGGTCTTCTTGCCATCAGGGAGGTCGTTGATCCCGTGACTTTCGGTGTTGGTGAGGTTATTGGGCTTGCCAAAAGAAGATCCATTCACAGATTTTTGATATCTTCGGTGTTGAGTTCATCCGGTCATCGGCTGCTTTGGTTGCCGTGTCTTCTTCCGTCGATCAGATCCAACGTTTCAGGTAAGCTGTCTTTTTCCTTGTTGGTTGTGGCTGGAGATGGAAGATCTGGTGCATTATGAAATTCTGTCTAGCGTCGTCTTTTTCCCCAAATCAGAGGTCGTCCAGCGTCATTTTTTTCCTCGAAACAGAGGTCGTCCAGTGTTGTATTTTTTTTCCGAGACAGATGTTGGTTTCACCGGTTGCTTATGCTATGTTCACTTGTAGTGGTTGATTTTGTTGGTTGCTTTCTTGACACCGATCAGATATGACAGAAAATTATGTTATTGACAAACCAAAAACAATGTTGAGTTTCAGTTAAGCCCGATCTTCTTAGCCAATGCCGACTGTGACTGGTTGTGGCTTCATTTTTTTTGATGGTAATCGTGTGTGTGTGTATACGATGGGAAAGATCTCGGTTGTGACTGGTTGTGCTTCTTGTATGTGTGTATGAGAGACAGAGCATTCGTGTGTGTTGATCAAATCTGGGTTTTTTGATCTTATTTTCCCTTTGGTGGATTTTATTTTAGAGACAGGACACTCGAATTTTTCTCTTTTGTGCTTGATGTTGCTTTTGCAGTGTTATAGTGGTTAACCGAAATATGTATGGGATTTTGATTGTTGGTTGTAGCCAAATTGGGTCAGTTAACTGAAAAGAATTCCCTTGGATGCTGGGAAAAAAAGTCATTATTAATGTGTATGTATACCGTTGGATTATAGAACACGCGGCTATACTTGTTAAATACTATCCTGTTATATCATATCTCCTGGATTGAATGGTATGCTTTTTGGGTTGAACTTGTGATGACTGAACTATTGTAATTGGTTTATAGCATAATGAATAAAAAAATGGCAAAGCTTCGTGGGATATAAGAGCCATAAAGGTCTTTATTGACCTGTTTATTGAAGAAGTTGAAAAAGGGGGAAGAAGAGGAACTAGCTTGACAAAGCCTGCTTGGACAAGTATTGAGGAGAACTTTACTACAAAGACTAGGAGAGTTTATACGAGAATCCAATTAAAGAACAAATTTGATACCTTGCGAAAGGAGTGGCAGTTATGGGATAGGCTGCTCCATGAGATAGGTTTAGGGTGGGATGCCGAAAGGAATACTGTTAGTGCCCCTGATGATTGGTGGGAGAAGAAAACAGTAGTAATCATTTAACTTTATTTGAGCTTGTATTTTCTCCCATGTTAACATTTTTTGTATAATGTATAATATTTTTGGTGTTGAATGCGCAGGAAGTTCCAGGCTATGAGAAATTTAGAGAAAGAGGGCTTCAATTTCGGGCTGAATTGACTCAACTCTTTGGGTCTGTAGCTACGGCTGGACCACAGTCATGAGCACCTTCTTCCATGACACTTCCAAGCGAAAGGAGTTCCTGAAAATGATATGGAAGAAGGATCTGGAGATAGTGATGAAATTTTAAGGGCACTAATTGGCATAAGTGGGGAGTTTAATTCAGTCACATTCAATGACAATAGTGGAGGAAGTGGAGGCAACACTGGAATGAGACAGGAAACCATTCGTGGGGTTAGAAGCACAGGTGGCAGTCGACCTAGTAGCTCATTAGGGGTTAGAAAAAAGGGTGAATCCATGAAGAAGAAATCTACTACCACTATGAAAATAGCGGATGCACTAAGCAGGATAGCTCAGGCAAATGAAAATGATTCTCAGCGTGAACATGAAGAGATTTCAGAAGCACATGCTAGGAAGCTAGAAGAAGAAGCACGTGCTTATAAGACGTCAATTGCGGGAGTCATGGAGCACCTTAATGAAGTTGATGAAATTGTTGATGATCCTGATCTGTTTGGCCAGTGCACAACACTCCTTATGGACAAGCCAGCTGCAAGGGAGATGTATGTGGCTCTGAAGAACAAGAGGGAAAAACTACTGATCTTCTTGAAGCATGCAACTAAGGATTGAGACTTCATTTGTGTTGCTTAGAAGATGACTGTGATAATTTGTATCTATTTTTTAGGAATGATGTAACCAGACTATTGTATTATGTGACTACTGAATTTCTGTAGGAATTAAACAACTTATTTTCTTGTTAAATGTTAAGTAATTTCATATCACGGTTTCTAAATTTTATGTCTATGTACACAGGACAAGACAAAAAAAGGCTGATGAAATTAAAATTTCAGAAAAGTATCGTAAATGACGAAACAAACGGGTTAATCAAGTTGCAGTAGCGGTTGGTGGATATGCTTCTCTTCATTTGTGTAAAAAGCCCCAGCATACAAGTATTTATACAGGCAAGGCATGGGTAAGGGACGTTTTACAAGGCCATTCCACTCGTTGTTATAACATGTTTAGGATGGAAAGGGAAGTGTTCTTTAGTCTTTGCACAGAATTGAAACAACACAGTCTAAGAGAAACTAGAAATGTTGGGATACATGCAATGGTTGCAATGTTTTTAAATACCGTTGGCCATGCACTTAGTAGTAGGATGCAGTAAGAAAGATTTCAGCATTCAGGGGAGACAATTAGTAGACATTTTCATAATGTCTTACTGGCATGCTATAGACTTGCTATGACCAACATCAAACCAAAAGATCCAACGTTTCAGCATTTGCATACAAAAATACAGCCCGATGGTCGATACTGGCCCTTTTTCAAACATGCTATTGGAGCAATTGATGGAACACATATTTCATGCATTGTTGATGCAACTGAGTAAACAAAATTTATTAACTGGAAAGGAAGAGTGATGCAAAATGTAATGGCGGTTTGTGATTGGGACATGTGCTTCACTTTTGTATTAGCCGGATGGGAAGGTAGTGCGCATGATGCTCGTATATTTGACCATGCCCTCACAACTCCTTCCATGAACTTTCCCTATCCGCCTCAAGGTATATTTTAAATTCCTACAATTTATTTATGCTTAACTGTTAGAAAACAAATTTTATTGACACCAATCATATATTTCATGTAGGCAAATATTATTTGGTGGATGCTGGCTATCCGACACCCATGGGATACCTTGGTCCCTACAGACGTGAACGCTACCATCTTCTTGATTTTCGAAGGTCGTCTACACTTGAAAATGACAATGAAGTGTTCAATTATTTGCACTCAAGTCTACGAATCACTATCGAAAGAACTTTTGGAGTTTGGAAGAGTAAGTTTGCAATTTTAGGAAACATGCCGAGCTATGACTTTTCAACACAGGTTCAAATTGTTTGTGCAACGATGGCCATACATAACTTCATTAGATCAACATCCATTTCTGATCCTGGTTTCATTCAGTTTGAACAAGAAGGTTCTTATACAAAAGAAAATGATGATGATGGAGTTGGATCTTCACATATACCTTCATCAGTAGATTCTTCATCTCACATGGCTCGGCTTCGTGACTCTAAAAGAGATCAAATTGTTCACTACATACAAGAATAGTTATGTCCTTTTTATTTTCTTTTTTCTTTTCAGATAATGTAATGTGTTGTTAAAAAAACCTACTTGAACAAATATATTTCGTTGCAACCTCTATTATTAAGACAATTAATATGAATTTTTTTGTGTGGTTATTTAATTTTGTGAAACAAAATTATGGGATTTCATCTTTAAAATCTTTAAGAAATAATAATATTTTCTTTGGAAAAATAAATCATTTTCCTAAAAACATATTTATTTATTTTATTACTATATACACACACTAATTTCTTATTATTTATATTATTTATGCCATATTTATTATGTTGCTAAAATATATATTATTAATAAATTTATTACTTCAAATAAACATATATTATGAAATATATCTTATATGTAATTATCATTTAAACTTATGTCCTTTTTAGTAATTTCTACATATCAAAAAGCATTTCTGACAATAAGTATCCAAACACTCTCACTTTATCAGAATCACTTTTTCAAAAAATCTATTCTTTCAAAATCTATTCTCTCCGGAATCTATTCTCCAGAAGCTATTTTGCAAACTATGGTTTTGCCACATCCAAACACCCCCTCAATCTAACTTCCGGATTCAACTCTAAATCCCTTGTGGGTAAGATTAGGGTTTTGTTCTTACAGTCCATTAGGATATTGTGGGATGACAACCAATTGAGTCCAATCACCACATCCATCTCATGGAAAGGCATGCATATCAAATCTATAGCAGTGCAACAGTGCTTATAACAAACTATACAGTTCAGGCACACATCAGATGTAATTACTCTACTCTGCGTTGGGGTAGACACATGTATATCATATGGAAATGTATTTATACTCAAGCCAAGTCTTTCCACACAGGCATATGAAATAAAAGAATGACTAGCACCCGAATCAAACATTGCAATCACCGGAGAATTGTTAATCATGATTGTGCCTTGGATCATCTTCGGAGACTTCCAGGCTTCTTCTCTTGTGATGGCAAACACTCAGCCCTGGTTGCGTGGTCTTGCCTGCTCAGTGTTCTGTGGGCACTCTCTTGAGAAATGTCCAGGTTTGCCACAGGTGTAGCAAACATTCTGCCCAGCCATGCACGGTCTGTCACCGTGATTCTTGCCACACTTAGGACACTCCTTGCCCTTCGGTGCTTTACCGCCTTTCTTGTTCTTGCGATTATTCCAGGGTTGTTTCCTCTTCTTATTCACATTGGATGAGGTACCACCTTGACCTCCCTTCTCTACTCTGGGAGTTGTCTTGACCATCAGATGATGGTTGAAGCTGCTTTCCGTGATTTGGCAAGCTTCCGCTGCTTTATTGAACTGCTCAAATTGTCTGGGAGCAATCATCTCCCTCAATGATGGCCTCAGTCCTCGAACCATCTTCTCTGTTGTCCACCTCTCATCTTCTCTATATCGGAGATAGCTTGAATAATGAGAGAGACGGATGAACTTAGACAAGTATTCATCAAAAGGCTCATCATCCCTTTGCTTCAGAGTCAGAAATTCCGCTTCTCTCTCATCTCGGACAGATCTCAGAAAGTACTTCTCATAAAACTACTCCAGAAACACTTCCCAAGTCACCATCGTGTTTCGAGCATCGAGAAGAATTTCAGTATTCTTCCACCAGCGATCGGCATCTTTCTCCAGCTTATATATCGCCATCTGGGCTTTTCACTCCGATGAGCAGTCCAGTACCTTGAAGATCTTCTCTAGGCAATTAATCCATTCTTCCACCGCTTGAACATCAAATGTCCCATCAAATCACGGCGGGTTGTGTTTACAGAATCGGGTCATCCACTGTTCTACTGCTGGCATTGCCAGCCTTGGCAACTGTTTTGATGCTGGTACTGTAGAGACCTCTTCCTCTGGTCGCCTTCTGTCCAGGTTCGCTAATGTTGCTGCCAATGCTGCAGCCATTGCTGCATCCCTTTCTTGTTCCTGACGAGCTTGAGCTACTCTCATGTCCTCGATGGTCTTCTGCTGTTGCTCGAGGTGTTCCAGAATCAATTGTAATGGATCAGGAGGGACCCTTGCATCTTGCACTGGGGGTCTCTCTGGTGAAAGGTTTCGTCGAGTTCTAACCATTGCTTAACTAATCGGATAGCACAGCAAGGAACAAGAAATAAATATCATGCTTGGATTTCATTCACCAAATGAGCATACAACAATAATTAGCAGCTAAGCATTAACCAATTAAAGTGCAATCAACACATTCATCAACCAAGCACTATCAGCTTAACCTACTCGGGTTAGCTGTACCAAAATATATCCTACGTTAGTGATAGGACCGTCCTAGCGTCTACAGAAAGTGAACAATAACAAAGCCCTCGAGGCTTCGGATCCAGTCCTCCACATCATCTCCCAGCAAGTAGTTCAGGCGGACGATCTCATGGGTCCAGAATGGAGTGTTAGGTAGGACATCTACCATCTCACATAACCAGTCAAATGGTTCTAAATAAGGGTTGCCTGGTTCGTGTGCCTGATATAGTTCCCTCACACCCTAGAGATAGTCTAGGTGTACTCTCAGGTCTGCATCCACATCCCCCCTGATGTGATGCCCTATGAACCTCAGCCAGTCACTCAGCTGACCCACACTACGGATCTCATGACTAGGCTAAACTGGGGCAGGTACAAATGGTATTGCAAGTGCTACAGGTATTGCTGGGGCTGGGGGTACAACTGGTACAGTACTAGGTCCAGGGACATTACATGGATACATAGCAGGAGTAACAGGTTGCTTAAGAGACTGAACATAAAGATCTAAATCTAATAGCTCTTGGTACAGGCCAGTTACAGGGTTGACCAGGTCTTCGGGTCCAGGGAGGTATAGCAACTATTCTGCCGTGATCCCTAGCAGCTCTGGGTAGTGCTCAACACAGTCACTAGAGCATACTGATGAATGGCCAGGGCTGGCATCTCCCATTACCCATTCCTTTGG